AATAAGCCAGAATCAGCCAGTCCAGTCCCCCTGCCCATTGCTCACAAAATGTCTTAAGTAATGACTACTGAATAATTTAAAAAGGTTGAAATTGATTGATAAAAACCAACCAACATTGGGGAAAATTAGAGAAAAGATCGGGGGTGGAAAAACAACAGAACTTTTAAGTTCACTTTTAAAGTTCTTACTTTAAGATAGGCGTTCATGGTGAGAGTGGGAGCCCGTGACGCACGAAAGATAAGTTGTTGAGCGGCGTCCTGGCTAGATGACTCAGAAAGAGTGTCCATTACATCCACAAACACCTCGTGCCATTTGCCATCCACCTTCTAAGCCAAAGTTGCGAAAGGAAGCGCGACAAACCTGGAAACGGTGGATTGGAAGAGCGTCGAAGAATTCATGTGCAAAATAATAAGAGCACCGGCCCCGAGGAATCTCATCCAAGTAGGAGTGCCAGTGGATTTTGGGACTCGGTTTGAGCGCTTCTAACAGGGGACTGAGAGTAGACTGTTGAATGGCGCGCAGGCGGTCACTTCTTTCAATCAGATGCAAGTTTTGCAATTCTGACGCGACTTTTGGGAATTTACTGATTGCCTGAAGAAAAAAAAAGAGGGAACTGCTAAACTGGTGTAAGCGTTGTTACTTGACGGAAAATAGAACATTGGTTCGGTTAACAAGCCGGAAGAACCTGATAGAAGTCGAAAAAGTTGGTTGCATATGAGGAGCACCGTAATTTCTGATTTCCAAGACCCACAAGACGGATCTAGTTTGTGCGTATTGTGGATACACATTTTTCTATACAACAGGCCACGCGATCTATGCATTGGATCAACACAGGGGGTCAGATCGGGGTACAGCAGGAGATATGGGAGATGCGCACCCATAGAAAATTCCATAAACTGGGAGAAAGGGTGGTGGCAAGCTTAGAGGCAAACTCACGCCGCATCAAGCATCTGTGCCTGATTCCGTCTCCAAGCTTTCTGACTCTGCCATAATACAGGGCCCAGGTAAGTGGGGGGGGAGGGAGAGTGCGACAGATGCTCCGCAAGTGTA